TTTTATTGTATATAAAATGTAAAAAAAGGGGAGAATGCGAATTTTATGGAAGGAAAACTCAGGAGTAGGATTTTGAAAATATTTTGAATGATTTACTCGTTTAACAAATATAACCATCTACTTACAATATTAATAATTATGGATTATTACGAGATCTCGTCCACTCCAAGATAAACTTATAAATTCAATTCGGTTAAAGCCGTAATTTTTAAAATTGTAAGTAGTTGTTTACGTGTGAATCATTACCTAATTAGAAATAATTGGAGCTTTTTCTTTCAAATTCGACATTATATCTGATTTAAAAAAAAAAAAAAAAAATGAAAATATAAAATATAAAGGTCTTTTTAAAAGAGGCTACTTTTTAAAATAACGACGTGGCCCTCGGATCTGAATCAAAAAAGAGGGATCCACCCGACCAAGATTAGGCTATACTAGGTTGACAAACAGATACTTTTGGGGAATGTGTCCGGGTAGGGAAAGGTTGTCTGATGTGACCTGCTTAATGGAAGGATATTGGCTCCTTATAGAGAGCGCATAGGAATGTATACCCGATATGAGAATTGGACTTAAGCACGGCAGCGAGTATCTGGGTCCTCTGTTCAAATGCTTGGATGAAGCAGGATTGTTTTATTTCATACATTAGTATATATATATCCTAGTATTGATAGTGAGTGTATTTATTGGCGTGAAATTGTAGTGTGAGATGGCCTATGACGGAAATTGAGTCGACCCTCAATTAGATGCAGGGTGTATCAATTTCTATAGTCCATATAATTCACAAACGACTTTGCTACAAGAAGCACCCTTACGTCGGGCATAACTCAGAAATGGTCGATCCTATCAAAATTTTTTCTTTCAGTGAAGTGCCATAAAATAAGCTCTAGAATCGAATTGTACAATAAAAATATGTGGATCCCGTTTAAAATAACAAAGTTAGTGACATTTACTAGCGAGATGAGAAAGTTATGCTAAATTGGTTTTCATCCCGCGATTCCTAGCCAAAATTAACATGAGGTTTGTTTAAGAAATTTTTTTGCTAAAATTAATCGTTTTCGAAATAAAGGGGGTGGGTCATCTTGTCGTTTCAAAATCATACCCCCCTCACGCGCTTTCTGTCGGGCATAACTCAGAAACAGTCGACCGTATCAAAATTTTCCTTTCCCTATAAGAGCTATAAAAAAGCTTTAGAATCGAGTTGAACAATAAAAATATGGGATTCCCATTTAAAATAACAAAGTTTGTGTCATTTCCCAGCTAGATGAGAAAGTTATGTTAAATCTGTTAACACCACGTGATTCCTGACCAAAATTAACTTGGGGTTTATAAAAGACCATTTTTGCTGAAGTTAATAGTTTGTGAATTAAATAGGTAGAGTATAGAAGTTGATACAACCTGTATATCGTATGTGGAAAATGTGGAGTAGGAATGTTAGTACTGTAATTTGGAGGGGGGGGGCTTTTGAGACCGAGGTTTGCATGTAATATTTTTATAGAGCATGCAATTAAGTACATATGGTAAAAAAATAATAAGACCTAGGATGACCTCGGAATCCCAAAATACTGAACTGGGTAGAGATCAATTCTGTGTATATGTAGTATATAAATTTGCCAAGGTGAGCGTTATAAAAACGTGTAGAGATTAGTGACCGTTAATCGATAGTTATTCAGATATCGTGAGATGCGGTCGGGTGTGATGTAGGTTTCAGAAAAACATTTTCTTTATNATATATATATAAAGGTCTTTATAACAAATGCATCCCCAACTACTTGGAGACTTTTACTCTGTACATTTAGAAACTTCTTTTGTAGTCATTGTATTTTTTATGAAATCATCTAATAACTGATGTTTTTGAAATTCCTTTTGGTTCTGTCAATTTTGATAGTTTTTATATATAAACAATTTGTTCAAAGATAACACGTTTCTAAATTACTAAAGGTATCTTATCCTTGAAAGCGTATATCAATTGAACATCTATGACGCATTGAGGTATCAATCAACCCGTTTCGCTTCATACAGTTTTTCTTCCTAACACTTACCATAAAATAATTTGTTCACCTTAGGAAATAATGGTCTGAGTGTAATAAATCTTGATCATAATATTTAAGAGTATTAGTTAAGATTTACTTAGTAACTAATGCTTGCTTTATGATTTATACAATAAGCCAAATTGGTAGTTGAACAACTCAACAATAGAACAACATTGTGATACTTCTCATAAAACCAAGTTTTCTTATTTGTTCTCGACTTAGGGTAGTTAAGGGCTAAATTTATAAGCGTTTACTGACGAACATGCTTTCCAATTGTTGACAAGACGGATTTAGTTTCACGCTTGGTCGTGCCGAAACTGAAATTTAGTTAAGCGGAATAGGAGCAGTGCTGTTCAAATGGGGTTCTTTCTTCTGAACTGGATATTTTGAGACCTATATGACCTACTGATGAAACCATTTCTGTAAACGAACAATTGGTGTAATTTTTAATTCAATAAATGAAAAAAACACAATCTGTCGTTTTAATATTAATATTATCAGCTATGTTCGCATGTTAATATTATCAGCTATGATTGCAAGTAAATCTGAGGTTGCTTGTTTTCATTAGCAATACGATCAAAATCAAAAAGTTTTGGATGTGAATATTTTAACCAATTCCATTAACAACAAAAAAATTCAATAAATCTTACGCCCTCGTTTTATAATGTCCTAAACAATAACAATGTTGCATCAAGTTGTATGACGTGGGATGGGCTGACAGATTTTGTAGAAACTTTTTTAGTGATATTGGTCCAAAAGTAGATAGGGTCCTAATGTCTTTCTAGGTTCAAATCCAAATTAATTGAAAGTTTAAACTTTTTAGTTTTTTTTCTGCCTTCTTTGTGCATGTATTACATAAAAATCCATTAGGTTTCGTGGTACGATTGACCAAATAAATTATTTCCAATTAAATAATCTTTTAAGTAAGACATTGGTTGAGATAAAAAAGTCAGTGCCATGAGCGGGATTGTATCTAAATTCAACATTAATACAAGATAAAAAAGTCAGTGTACGAGCGGGATTCGAACCCACGACCTTCCGCTAAATACGCCGCTGCTCTACCACTTGAGCTGTCGGGACTTCGATCCACTCGGACACTACCTTCCCATCTCAACCCCACCTTTTGAATTTTCCCTCCTTTTTGCCATTTTCGAATCCCGCTCGTGACAATGACTTTTTTATCTGAACTAAAAACCTTAATTAATTGAAGTTATTAATTGGTCAAGCGGACCACGAAAACTAGTGAATTAATACAAGATTTGGAAGCTGATTATCTCTCCTTCTAGACTATTTTAATAATTTACATTTTATATTGTTATAAGTGAGAAAATAGGGTTAAATCAACATTACGTAGTAATACGTCCTAAGCCCCTGTAAAGTTTCCAATAGAACGGTCGAGTCCTTTTAAAGTTATCGCCATTTTGGAGAAAAACAAAACCATCTTTTCCTTAAAAATTTGTATATTTGTTTTTAAGGAGGTATAAATCAGTATCAGTTTTTGCTAAGAAATCTTTGCAGCTTACCATCCTAAGCCACTCGGTCACAAATCATGTATTTCAATATCTACGATACCCTTACATGCTTAGGACCTAATACGATCTTGTCGTACTGACTTAGCTTCTTATTTTTTGATCTTTTATGTATCACCAAAAAAAGTTTCATTAAACAATCGGTGATGTAACTTTTTTGCCCCTTTTTGTAAGACATAAACACAATGATGAACTCATATTGCAGCGGTTAGCTATAATTTTAGTTCAAAATTTAAACAATTGAACATGGTGTTACACAAGGGCCTCTTCTGAACTTCTTTTTTTATTTATATCTGTTATCAATTGTTTTGTAAAATTTTTACGAATAATCACTAAAAAACATATTTGAACACATTCAAGACGTTACAATTGCGTGAATACCCTAACATTGGAGGTTTTATTATTTTAATGATCTTCTTGTTTACATTTAGGAAATTTTGGAAATATATTTATTCTCCCCCATTAACACTTTTTCCGAATTTAAAGTCCTTGTTGAACGAACTGGGCAAAAAATCAACGGGTTCAAAAATCGAAATTTGGCGAGTTAATAAAGTTACGCATAGTTTAAACTTCTGGTCAAAAGTAGATAATGCAAAATATGAAAATTTCTTATAAATAATTCAATATTTAGTGGTATTTAAAAAGAAACCAAGAAACCATCTTTACACTATTGGTGAGGTTCAAAGTACTACCAATTCATAACATTCTTCCAGAATCGTTAACTACTAAAATTAAGGACGTTTTGAGAATATTTTTTTTCTCAAAGGGTTAACACATTCCTTGATAAATTTTAAGTCCACATCGCTTATATATATTATTTATTATTATTGTTTTGTAAACGAGGGTTCGCAACACCAGAGGTCATATCAACCCTCAGGGTGCTGGTGTTTTTGAAAAAATCCCATTTGTAAATATGTCACCTTTTGAATTTTCACTCTTTTTTGCCTTTTTTCATCTCAACTAAAAACCTTAATTAATTGAAAGGTGTTAATTGGTATAAAAATTTTGAAAAATGGCAAAATGGAGGGAAAATTCAAAAGGTGAGGTTGAGAGGGAAGTTAGTGTCCGAGTGGATCGAAGTCACGATAGCTCAAGTGGTAGAGCAGCCGCGTATCTAGCCGAAGGTCGTGGGTTCGAATCCCGCTCGTGACACTGACTTTTTTATCTCAACTAAAATCCTTAATTAATTAAAAAATTACTAATAAGTTAAATAATAATTTACGCAGAAAAAATACTGCATTAAGTGTAATTATTTTCGAGATATTGACCCAATGATGGATGTAATTCAATGCCACTACAATTGGGTCAATAATGGTACATAATAAGGGTTTTTCTTTTTGAGCTAACGGGTGAAAAACATAACAGCAATAAATTACTGTTAAAGGCATCGTTTTTTTGGAAATCAATTTATCAAACGTTCCAGGTGGGTATTATTCGGGTCAAAATGGTCCGAAAAGGTTCTGCAGCCGCTGGTTTGATCCCATTGATAATCTTGTCCAAACTGTTCGGCTGTTCTCTTTTTAATTTGGATTTCAAGATGTCCATTTTTCAGATTTACTACTCTATTTTTGTCGTCGTCATGCTGATATTTATGACATTTTGCACTTACGGTTTCAAAGACGTAGACGGATTGTCGCTATCGATGGTGAACACGGCCGAAGTCGATTTCCAGTACACGATTATGACCGGAGTCGCTATACTGTGCATTGTCCGCTACCCGAAGAGAATGCGGTTTTTAAAATCTTTTCTCGAAAGGATCGACAGATACGACCGATTCCTAAAGAGAATGGGGATCGTTGTCAGCTACGGTACAAAACTGGAATGTTTCAAATCTATCTTTGCACCCGTCTATCTGTTAACCGCGATGGTGATTGAGAGTCTTATTTATGGATATTTTAAAGATTTGAGGTAAGGCACTACAAATTTTGTCAAATCGACATAGAATCAAAAAATTTTTGTGTGAATAATTTCACTGTTTAATTAATTCTTACGTTTTCAAGGTCTTGAAAATTAAAAAATCCATTCAGACACGCACTAGCAATAGCTGAGTGCAAAAAATATATAAATTTGCAATAATTACTTAAAAATTTGTTTCCTTTCCCTAAGCCACTAGTATTAAAAATACTAAATTGCATTTTTTCTAAATTGTTTAATTTTACCAATTTTCAATTTGTACCCAAAAAATATTAAGATAAATTAAATCGTTCTTCATTTAACTAAGAAAAATAGTGCAAATATTTTCAAAGGACTGAAAAACTAAAAATTGTGAAAATTTATTAAAAAATGAATGATTAAAAAAAATATTTCTTTCGCTCAATGTTTCTAAACTTTCCAACAAGCATTTTTACAAAATATCGTGCAATCTTGCCAATAAAGCAGATTTGGCTGTCGATAAAGCCTTCGGAATGATATAGGTGTATTGTTATTTTTCGATGAAATCACCCCAAAAGGATTTTACTTTTCAATTCAACGGAATGGAACATTTAATGAAATTGGACTAGTTTTCAAATTGGCCGATAGTTCCGTCCAGAAAATGCTATTTGCATACAAATAAAGTATTTACGTAAGGATTGTTCGTAAAAAATTGGTCGTTTCTTGTTTTGTCTCCTCCTGCTGTTAATTTTCATTTATTCTCAGAGAAAAGTTTTAACAATTTAACGGGTTATTTCTTATAGATATTAAATAAAATTAATGTTTACTCTACACTTGTACTACAGCCGTTAAACAATATACTGCAGTATTTATTTAGAAATCGATTAACGGTCATTAATCACCACACACACAATATACGGCAGGATGGAATTTTCTTTATTAACGGAACGGTTTCTACATCATGTCCTCTTCAGTGTTAATAACATTTGTATATTCAGTGGATTTCTTAATAATGTGTAACTTTTGATTCTTTCTTCTCTTGTCTCTCTATTTCTCCACTCTTCTCTCTTTGTGTTCTTTCTTATAATTTTTTTTCTAAGGCCTTGAAATATGTTCATATTATTTCTAACAAGTGCAGGCTATGGACGTGGGATCACCGATTATAATGAAATTTTTTGTGATGATACTATGTCAAAAAACATTAAACAAGTGACAAAGGAGCCAGTATGGTATGGTGACAAGGATACTAGGAAGCAGGGCTTGTACTCCCCACGCACTGCAGCCTTCTGACTTATTGAACCTTCCTATTTCCTTAGTTCAGTGTAATAGACTCAATTCTTCTCGTTAGAAGTATCAGGTCATTGACTGTCGCTGCTAAAATTTCATTCCCTAAGTTTTTCGTATTTAAGGTTGAATCTCCATTGAGCTGTTGCTTCGCAGTCGAAGACGATATGAGTGGCTGTTTCCTCCTCCTCATTACATAATGTACAGATGGGGTCTTCGTTGTATATGCCCATGTTGTGTAGATGTTTTCTCAGATGCCAATGACCGGTTAGCAGTCTTATCACTCCTAGTTTAGCTCTCTCCAGTTGCAGCAGTGATTTTGCCAGTCTTGGTGAGAGTTGTTTCATCATAGGTTTACTATGTCTAGCACCGAGTATATCCACTTCTCCTTTTGTTTTGCTTAGATCCATTCTGCGATCGAGGTTTCTACATTTGTTTTTGTTATCCCAAGGATAGGTTCGGGGCCTATATATGGTCTTGCAGATCCTCCTCTGGCCAGACTGTCTGCTTTCTCGTTACCCAAAACCCCCCAAGATATCATCAGGATGTTGTGTTTCCCCAGATTTTGAAGATTTTGGATGCATTCACTGACTAATTTTGATGTAATTTTCTCTTATGCTAATGCTTTAATGGCTGCTTGGCGATCAGATCTTATGAGGATTTTTTTGTCAGTTCTCTTTTTAAGATTTTCCAGGGCACAAGCATTGATGGCATGTATTTCTGCTTGAAAGACCGAATTATACTTCCCTAATGAGTTTGATTGCTCAGGTTTTGGGCTTGTGCAGTAAATGCCTGAACCGGTTCCTTTGTTTATTTTTGGGCCATCTGCATGCTATATCATTGTATCTGATGCTCTCCTGTGGTCTTCCTCTCCTTTATAGTCCTTTCGAGACTTTATAGGATGTTGTGAAAAATGTTCCATTTCAAAGAATTGGTGTCTGATTTTATTAATTATGGTTGTGTGCTAGAATTGATTAGTTCCTATTCAAATTGATTGTTTTTGGAGCCTAAATCAGCTTTTCCTAGCCCCTCCTTGTATAAATGTTTCCAGTGGAGGTTGGTTTAGTAGAGTTTCTAGCGTACTTGTAGGGGTTGTTCTCATTGCCCCTGTGATACATAGGTTTGCTAGTCTTTGTATGCTGCCTAATGTTTGAGTAGGTGCTTTTTGTTGAGCTTTGGTCCACCACATTAATGTCTAGGAGCCAGTAAAAAAATATGTAATTTAAAATTTAAACTTTTTAAAATATGGTTTTCTGCCATGTTGTGCGTGTATTTCAAGGTTATTATAAAGGTATTATAAGGTTATAAAAAATAAGAAAATAATACGCAGAATACATACATGGTGTACAGACGTCCTACATCCAGGAAATTTAAGTATTTTTTCAATTTGTGGACATAGTATACTGTGAACGTCTGGTGTTTTAAGTTTTTATGTATCTTTAATTTAATTTAATTTAGATTTAATCCCGTTTTTTTCTTGAAAGATACGCATAATAAAGGCAGAAAAATAGGATTAAAAAAGCGTTTAAATTGCATAATACATTTATGATTTTTCGGCTTCTAGGCTAATAGGCAAGGACGCTTGTCCGTAACTAATGTTTTTCAAACTAGTATCCAAAAAAAAAGTTTCATCAAAGCCGTTGATCCCACGTCCGTAGCCTCTGCTTGTAAGATGTATGTAGTTTATCGATACATATACAATAGTTAACGTAAGTTGATGAATTATTTAAGGACGTTCTGAGAATTTCTCCTTCTTGAAGCTGAAAATCGGAACTATTACAAGCCAACTGGTTAAATTTAAAAGATTTTTTAAAAATATGATTAATAACGTGGATGTGATCCATTTTACTATTTTCCACATTGTATATGTACAATTGTTTCGTTTATAAATTACTAAAAATAGTGAAACCAATCAAAAATGAAACATTTAGATAACGTTATCTACCTGTCAATCGGGTATCACCCAATAAACTAACTAATAATTTGGTTAATAAAATGGGTCGGTCGATTGAGGATTATCGTAACGAAATAATACATGGCTTTCTTTTTGGTTTGAATTTTGTTGTTTTGCATTAATTCTTTTCATCTTAACACGCTGCTTCTATACAAATTATTAATTTAGGTCTGTAGTTTATTGCATAACAATTATGGTTAGCAATATATGTTGACTGTAGCTTTTTTTTCATCAATTTTATTGTGAGTCGGTTTTTTGGGGTCAAGGATATGGGCATTTATTAAGTCCAATTATTGATTATTAATTATTATCGCATTATGGATGTAGAGCCCTGAAGAAGCCACTAATGTCGAAAAGCTTAGCTGTGCAAAACATGTCGACTTTTGGACCTCATCCCTGATCTGAAAACAAAAACAAAACAATTATGTTAAAATTGGTCGAACATCATCACTCTTGAAATATAAATTTGATTGTGTTGTAAAAGTGATGTACCTCTCATATTTTTTTTAAACAAACGAAAGATACTCTACGTAAAGCCATTTTAGATACGTTTTTAAAATAATTTGAATAACCGTAATTTAAAACAGTTATTTTATTTATCGCAAAACATATTTGAAAGTAATTATTATCTTTGCCCTGACGGTTTTGGAAATTTTAAACAACCTTCTCACGCTTTGCGTCAACAAAAAGGTATGTTTGATAATCTTTATTTATGTCATTGCCTCTTACTTCATTTGACAAAAGCTTAGGATTAAATTATTATTATTAACTTTTATTTGCTTTCTCATACTTCATTAAATGCGTTAAAATTAATGTTTATTTTATCAGTTTTTAAAGTTAAAGTTAGGCTGATTATATAGCGTTTTTCTTCTTTCTTCTCCTGGAAATGTCTCTCTTGGTCATAGTCTTAAATTGAAATATATCTTCGGCAAAATCCAAGCCATTTTATTCACTAAAAGGAAGCCTAAGTGTCTTATTTTGCCAATATTGACAATATCCAAATTCCATAGAACAATGTAATCAAATATAGCCCTTAATGTGTGTTTCTTTGTGACCGGTGTTGTCACAACACTTTCCCACCAATATGACAACACAAGAATAGCACCACACTTTATGCCCTGAAGATGACCCGAATAAAGTTCGAAACGTCGGCAAAAAATTGAGAAAGTTTTTTTTCTAAACTACCTCATGTTTGACCGCTCCTCACGACTTCAACAATTGATGAAACAACAGGACACTAAGAAACACTCATTTCTACTTGAGAGGGAAAACAGAACTAACATATTACCATGAAACATGAGCATCAACCCACTGTCACACTCAAAAGCATAGCAAGAAACCAGAAGAAACTATAACACTATCACACAAAACCAATATGACACCCTAAGAATAGCACCATCCCTGAAGATGATCCGAATAAAGGTCGAAAGGTCGGCAAAAAATGAAGAAATGTGTTATTCTAAATTATGTCATTCTTGTTCGCTCCTTACGACTTCAACAAATTATTGTCCTTAATCTGTTTTGTACCTCTACATACATCAATACAGAAAGCATAAACACAAAAGGCATTGTATATAAGGTAACTCTTACTATATTCTGTATATATATATGCTCAAATATGAACACGCATGTACAGACATTCTATCAGTTTTCGCCTACTAGCGGCAATTCCAGCTTTTGAAATTTACAATAAATTACAGACAGGCCTTGAGAACCCCGGGTGTTGGCAGTCCGTGGTCAGACCTCGGTCTTATCCGTCCAGCATCGAAGTTGGGCTCCAGGGGTGCCAACAGCTATGCGATTCAGCCCCAACTCAATCAGTTTCTAAAAGCAAACCATTCACACTCTCACTCACAAGACATGTAACTAACTTAATTGATGAGGTATACCGCAATCTGCCTTCTCACATAGCACAGTCACACCAATAAATACATTCACTTCCAACACACTGGGGACACAAAACAATCAGGACTATATTCAGTAAATCGACCCTGTTTCCTCCAAGAATCGGAAAAGGGAGCTCAGATCTCGCTGCCGTACTCAACCATGATTCTCATGTCGGGTGGCATCGATAGCATTGGAAACGCTCTCTATATGTAACTAAAGATTTCCAACTTTACAACCGTTTTTTACATGCCGGACAAATGGGCTTTTGCCCCAAAGTACGTGCATCTGTGTCAACCTCGCATGGCTTATTCTTAATCAGGCATATATANAACATTGTTAATTATTTTTTTGTTATATATTTTTATTAAAAGTAAAAATGTTGTTTTTCAGAAAGATGCCGCAGGTGATCGTATTCTACGATCAGGTGGTGATATCCGCCACAGAGTTTGAGTTCGTGTTCCTCGTTAAAGTGGTTGGCAATCACTTACAATCCCTAAGGAATGAAGGTAAAACTCTGTACCAGCTCGTCGGCTGTAAGTTCCTCATGCTGCAGCACATCAGGCTCAGAGGGATGGCCAAAGAGATCGGCTCTTTCTACAGTACTGAAATCCTTTGTTGCCTCTTACGGCTCTTCTTCATGGCAGTGACGTCTGCTCACTTCGCCCTGTTTTACCTCATGTTCAACCACGACGAGAAAAAACAGGACAAACAAGCGATTGCGACCGCTCTTTACTTATTCTACACAGTTTACTACTTCTGGGAGTTGTACGATATGTGTAGCATTTGCTACTGGACAGAGACTCAGGTGAAAACTGATGATACAAAAAAGGTTTTTGTACTATAAAAATTTATTTTTCAGAATGAAAAATTTAACTATTATTTCCGGTATTTGGTGATATCTGGTTCGTCTAAATCAGCTCTGCAAGATGTAACTTTCCCCCTACTCCTTCTAAGTTCGTCAACAAATAATTTATTTTTATTTTAGATAGATATAAGAACGCACCTGGCTATGAAGTACTCAATCGAATTCGACTGCGGTGGATACATCCGTTTGAAAAATTCTTTATTTTTGTCGGTAAATATAGGAAAAGTATTAAATATAAATTGCATTTGTAGTTTAGTCGTTCCCGATCATTCTGGTCAATTGAACCAAACCAGCTGTACAGACTAAATACACAGACCAAACAAAAAATAATCGGAAACAACTAAACTACACGTTCATAACCTCGCCGACCCCCTATAACAGCATAAACTATATGGTGAACTTTTAGACTAAGATTATTTGGAAATCGTAATATGCATACATTTGATGTAGGCTTAGAAAACCTTTTCTTTATCGTGCCAACTTTTCGATCTCTATTGAGATCATCTTCAGGGCCTGGGATTTACAAACATTGTTTACATTATACATGTACGTGAAAATGAATTTATACAATTATGTACAAAATGTAGAAATTTTAGGTTTAATCAAAGTATTTGTACACACTCAAACTCTTACTTCACACCATCCCCTTCATACAATGATAAACACAGCCAAAGGGCTACTTCACAGAATGATTACCCTGCCATGAATCTTTTCGCCACAAGAACGTAAAGATATAAACATATCCTACAAAACAATCACTACCCTAAAAGCATAATCAACAGAATAATCGCCCACTACAACTCAACGCTAACACCATCCACTATCACTAATAACCTCAATTCTATCAAACACAAACAAACCAATACCATTCCATTCGTTCACGGCCTATCACACAAATTAAACACATTTCTTTCTTCTAATAACTTTATTTATTTATTTTTTTAACGAGGATTCGTAACAGCAGAGGTCATAATATAAACCCTCAGGGTGCCGGTGTTTTTGAAAAAAAGCCCATTTGTAAGTATGTCGGGTTCGAATGCAGGGCCGCTGGATTCGAACCCGGGACCTTTACCTTACAGTGATGAGCCCCGTGTCAAAGACTAAACCTTGCGGCCACCGACGCCCCTCTAATAACTTTAAAATAGTTTTCAAAATCTATAAAACTATTCAATCCCTTTTTCCAAAAATTAAAGATCCCACGCCTGTAACAAATAAGTCTGATGCAATTTACAAAAATCAATTGGATAAATTGTCCGGCAACTTACATCGGAATTTTTTCGGGTTTAACTATCCAATAAGATTAAACACAGAACAAAACATATGTAAACGTAACTTTTTAGAAATGTTCAACAGGGATAAACACAACATCAATTGCAGAACATACATGTGTAAACTAAGTCGCAGCTAAGCTAATATCAAAAATCAAATTCAATATCAATAACGTACATAAAATGCACAAAACATATAATGCAACATATAAAACAATCATTACACTCCAAAAATCAAACAATTTCTACATAGTCTAAATCCCTAACAATTTATCCTTCCTTCCCATAATAATCCTGTCTATATATTCCAGGAACGATAACTAAGCCCGAACGAAAAACCATTGTTCTTTTTTCCCATTGTCGGCCCCTTTCATCTCTAAGAAGCCGACTCCTCGTAGAAAATGAATTTCTATCCCTACTTCCTTCCCCACTCCTTCAAAATCCAATATATGTAAAAAAAAAGTTTTAATGTCTCACTAATACAACACAAAACAATGACACATCTACACAGAAAACGCACACTTTGACTGAATACAAATACTTTGATTTAACCTAAAATTTCTGCATTTTCTACATCATTGTATAAATTCATTTTCACATCTTACAAGTATTTGTATAATGCAAACAATCCATTATATTTCGTGGTCCGATTGACCAATAACTTCTTTCAATTAATGAATCTTTTTGTTAGGTATTGGTTAAAATGAGAAAGTTAGTCACAATAGCTCAAGTGGTTAGAGCAGCATTGAGCCGAAGGTCGTGGGTTCGAATCCCGCTCGTGACACTAACTTTTAATTAATTGAAAAAATGTAAATTCCATGCACTGAAGGTGATCTCAATAAAGATCGAAACGTTGGCACGATAAAGAAAATGTTTTTCTAAACTTACATCACGCAATCACGATATATCATTGGCTAACGGTCACTAAATACTACACATTTTAGTGTAAAATGGAATTTTTTCAGATGGTGGGAGCTTTGGTGACCTATTTGGGATTTTTCATACAGAAACAGATGTCGGCCATGTCTTTAAGGACTTAATCTGATGACAAAAAAGAATGCCTAATTAATGATAATTTACACCCATTAATTGGTAAAAGATGAAGGTTCCTAAGGATTTCCAAATTTTGAATGTAGGGTTTTGTGATTTTCCTTTTATTAAATTTATATTTGCTGTATTGCATGGAGTATTAAATGGAAAATAAAGATTTAAGAAATCGGTAGGCGTGATATGCTTCTTATCCTGAATTCAAATTTGTATGTTAAGCCCGGTCCGTTTACAGCCACACGTCTCGACAATAGGAGGCGGCTTGAATATTCAGAAAGCTCTACATTTGTAATTGCTCATTGAATTTTTCATAAAGACTTCGCCTCACGTGCTTGACGGCCGTGTATCGAGCGAAGCCCCCCAAGCAAACGGCGCGGCGTTGGCCCATGTTAAAAAATGCGCTTTGATTCTAGAATGGGTTTGTATCCGCCAGTTATGACTGTTTCCTCTTCTTTGCTCCATTCAAACGGACGATCCAAGGCTGAACTAATTCATTACGATTAGTGCCCTCAGTTCGGATCTTCAACGGTTAAGAAGGCCGTTTTAAAAATTAGTCCGCATTTAACGAAATCAATTAGTGTCAATTAGAAAATTAAGCGCGTCCAAAGTGGACAATACAATTAGCCTTTTTGATCTCAAATCGCTTTTTTAAATTAATTGTTAGGAAAGACTGTCACTGGACTTGAGTTCTTTCTTCAAAAATACAAAAATTGTCTAACGTGCCGAATCCTTCTTTTAATTTCTTCCTCCCACTTCGATTTAAGGTGCCTATAAACGTCAAAAAATATTTATTACAATATGTAAATTCGCGAGGAGAAAAGATGGAATGCTGGATTTATGATTTTTGCAGAAAGGAGATGAAATCTAACGGATGGAATGAGGATCCTTTTTTTCTTGTTTACTAAAATTATTTAACAGGACCTGTTGGGGAGAGGAGTGGTTCTAAAATCCTCAGAACTCCGTACCCGTTTCGAAGGGTGTGCAAATAAATTTGATTTTGAATTGGTTATAAAATAATTAAGTTATTGGGAGATAAGGGAAATTGATAATACTCACTAGTCAAAACTAAATAATTATTAGGTTGTTCGGAAAATAATACAGGTTTATCGTTATAAAATAGAAACAATTGCATAAATTATTTTAATCATTTTTATTAATTAAAATACCCTCCATCACTTTCAATACACTTCTCTCAACGTGACGGCAACTTCTCTTCTCTATACCCTCTGAATAGATTCGTGAATCTTTACAATTAAAAATTCTGTAAACCCATTTTCTAACGACTTTATGGATATACGGGGAGGTCCAGCATAAATCCGAAAAAAATTGGGTTTTAGTACATCGTAAATAGAGTAAAATGCAACCAACCGAGCTGGTCTATCTCATTCCTGTCGGAAGTTATTAATTCTTAAGTTTTTTTTGTTTAATTCCGACCTTAAACCATAAATTGGCATTTTTTCAACATCTAAGTCTATTAACCATATTTTTTAATTCTGCATTAAATTTCTTATTAAAAAAAGTTATTTTTAATTTCTTCTCAAAAGCCGATCTATGTTTGTTTATTAATTCAACCCAAAATGAAAAATAAAAAAAAACGGAGAAACTTTTGATAAATTTCAAAAAATAAATGTTTTCCAACAAAGATATTTTTAGGGTTGCCAAACATCGTAAAAATTTCTTCATTTAATAAGCTTTCTTATGGTATCCGCGAACGTCCAAAAACGTGAAACCTTCAACGGTAAAATTGGAATGTTAAAAAAACAACATGGTTCAAACGTGTAAATTTAACGCTTACGAAAGAGGAGTTATTATTTATTTATTTTTTATTTTGTTATTTATTTTTATCGTTCGCCGGGTTGGGGCAATAACGTCATTTCCTTCCGTGCCGCCCAATACAAAATAGGAAAGGATTGTTAAATGAAGTTTTTATGGCACCCCTACAAATATGTTTGTTGAAAAAGTTATTTTTGAAATTTTAGCAAAAAGTTTTTCCATTTCTCAAATTCTTCATTTAGGGTTAAATTAATAAACAAACAACTGCATTTGATAAGATTAAAAATAGCTCCTTATAGAAAATTTAATACAGAATTTAAAAAAATCTGGTTAAAAATTAGAACAGTTACTCTAGATCTTGAAAATTTATGGCTAAGGTCGGGATTTTCAGAAAAACAAGAAAAAAATTAATAACTTCCGACCGGATATAGAACAGCTAGGTTGGGAACATTTTACTCTATTTAAGATGTACTAGAACCAAATTTTTTTCGGATTTATGCTGGATTACCCAGTATATGTCTGCGCGTTGTCTCTTTTTTCTTTGTCCCTTTTGTGGATTGGGATTACCTTAGCCAACACTGCTCGTAGAATAGTTTTGAAGCTTATGAAAATTTATTTTTCTCCAATTTGGTTTTACCTGTACGCTCTACTCGTAGTACTCCCTTTGAAGAGCTTACACCTACGTTTTGCCATCTCCGTTGGTTGGGCCTGTGCGTTTCTTTTTTGTTCGTATGCTGTGTACGGATTAGAGAATTCAGAATTACATTTTACATTAGCCTTCAATTTGCTTGTCTCTGATCATCATGACTGCCTATTTTGATCCATTGTAAAATCAGACGTCGACATTGCGCCATTTCCGATGGTTGAGTCTGTGCGGTGTCCGTCTTTATTTAGTCTATATTTATATAGTTAGTCTACATTTTATTAATTAAAATACCCTCCATCACTTTCAACTCCCAATGTGACCCAATTTCTCTATACCCTCATAACTAAAAATCCTGTAAACGCATTTTCTGACGACTTTATGGATATTCGGGGATGTCCAGCATAAATCCGAAAAAAATGGGTTATAGTACATAGTTTACGAGATGTAAACTTATGTTTATACAATTCAGTAGTCCTACGATGTATTGGAAAATCACTGTATTTGAAGTTCGGATTTCATTTTGCCATTTGCAGTAGTTTCTGAACAGTTCTTAGTCCTTTTGTGGATTGTGTTTGCCTTTAGCCACCACTGCTCACGGAAACGTCGACATTATCGGTGGTTTAGTCTTTCCGTAGTCTCTTTAGGTCGTTCTCTTTGTCTTTTCTAGCGAAACTCGTGAAATGAGTGTTCTGGCAAAACCTTGAAGTTTTTTGGTGGTGCCATGAAGAGAACCCATCACCAGCTTCAGTTTACATAATCCATTATATTTAGTGGTCTGATTGACCAAATTACTTCTTTCAATTAATTAGTCCTTTTATGTAAGGTCTTAGTTGAAATGAAAAAGTTAGGTCACGAGCGGGATTCGAACCCACGACTTCGGCTCAATTCGCCGCTGCTCTACCACTTGAGCTATTGTGACTTCGATCCACTCGGACACCAACTCTCCATATCAACCTACAACCTTACATAACAATTTTTTTAATAATTAAAGAAGGTAATTTTATCGAATCACATCCAGAGAGCATAATTAACCTATAGTAAAAATAACCCAGAAAAATGGATTTTTTCGTTTATTTTACGCATTAGTTAGAGTTTAGCCTAGTAGAAAAATAAATTGTTAGATTAAAAATAAATAAATTTTTTGAGCGTTTTACATGGAAGATCATTGTCTCGACTACTACTTTCACTTTATCTGTTCGAATTTTTTTTTTGCACATACGTTCTGTTCGTGAATTGAAGTGTTACGCAGTTGCTAACAGACCACCTGGTTTGGCCATTTGCAGTTTTTTGTTTTATAGTCAAAATTAATTAACTGGTTATGTTATTCATTAGGCATTCCAACATGCAAGAATCCATTGCTGTTTACAAGGTAGAAAACCTAAATGGATGTCTTTTGGCTAAACGCCATATAGAGCTCTTTGTAGCAGGTTGTTGAGCAATATAAAAAGATTGCAGAACATAAAGTGATTTGTACCCTTTAAAAAGAATCAGTGTGAATTATATCACAAATTGATCCTCATTGCCGTTGAATTGTAATGTCAGTAGGTAGACCATCATTGACCATCTCCGGCCTCGTATCAGCGTTGTCATTGAAGTACGGCCTAGATTTTTTTACAATAGTGTCCAAGTTATTCAAATTTTATAACTATTAACTGTTTTTGCTGTGTAATCATATGTTCATCGTGCGAAATACAAAAATTACTATCACAACTACTTTTGCTAGTCGGAAGGGGCAAGGAAATTGAACCTGATGGCCGAATTGCGAAAACAGGCCCCAGCTGACTTAAACTCTCGACGAAAGTCGGGGGAACTGGAAGAAAGTTATGGTAGGGACTGTCGTATCGAAGGGGACTCGTTTTGATATTCTGAGTATGGGGTCCGACATCCGGAGGGGAGTGCACCGCCGCATTGTCCGATACGGCCTTGCCTTCTGATACATTCCCATTAAACAATCTCTCCGGCTCCTTGACTCGCTCCACCCACGCTCCTGTCGGCTGTTAATTTTCTTATGTAAAATGTTAAGCCACTGGGCTTGATACGGCCTGATGCACTTGAACCGGTCTGGGGAATTTTAATTTTTCGCATTTTATATTAAAACACAAGAAGGTTGCGTTTAGAAACTCAGTAGACGCGTAGACGATCAATCAATTAATATATGTCGTACAAAAATATTTTTTACAATTTTAATCAGGGGGGACGGATTTGCAATAAATACAGCACTAAACAAAACAACAAATAAGTAGAAAAAATAAAACAAGTACAAGGCTGATCATCTTTGCAGATGATTATATAAGGTTAACCTTAAAAATTGAGGTGATTGGTGACCGTTAGTTGATGATTATTCTGAAATCGTGAGATGCGGTCTTTTTTGCATTGTATAAATTCACTGTTTTCCACATCCTACCTGTATTTGTTAAATTTAAACAATGTTTGTAAATCCCAGGCCCTGAAGATGATCTCAATAAAGATTGAAACGTTGGCACGATAAAGAAAATGTTTTTCTGAAACCTACATCACACCAGACCGCATCTCACGATTTCTGAACAACGTTAAAAATTGATTTGCTGCTTAATGTTTTCCGCGTACCAGATTTGAGACAAATATCATTGACCTCTGTGCCATTGTTTTTGCCGCACCTAAGCCATATCTGACTCTTTGCAGCTTCTTGGCTTGCATTTCTATAAAGCTTTTTGGTTGAAAGACGGAAGCTCTGTT